AAGACACCTCCTTTCAGCAAGAAGGAAGGCAGATTTTCAAGTGAGGGTGGGCTCTCTGGATGGGGAAGGAAGGGCCACACACACCCTTGCTGGTTCATGAGGGAGGTGTTTTAGAAGGGAGAAGGGAGCGATGTTTTTAGTTTACAAGCCTCTTCTGGGAGAGCTGGGGAGAGCTCTAGTTTTGGATGTGTTCTCTGACACCTTTGAAGAACTGTAAAGGTAAACAAGCCCCTGGCAGATATTCTGAGGGGAAAGTTAAGCTCCAGTAAGCTTCTCCCTGTTCTAAATTCCATCTGACTTCAGCAGTCTGATACAAAAAGAGCACAATGTCTTGTTTTTGTTTCTGTTTTCCATTTATTTATTTATTTATTTATTTTTGAGACAGGGTCTCACTATGTAGTTGAGACTGACCTGGAACTCACTGTGTAGCTCAGGCTGATCTCGAACTCATAGCGATCCTCCTGCCTCAGCTTCCCGAGTGCTGGGATTACAGGCGTGTGTGCCACCACGCCCAGCCTTTGTTTTCCTTTTAAATCAAAATTCAGGTATACTAGCACATCTGAGGGTGACACAAATCCTCAAGTCATAGACTGGGCCACAGAGTCACAGAGAGCGTGTGGCCATGGTAATTCGTATTCATCCAAAGTCACTTCCTGCCTGTGTGATCATAGTCATGTGGCTTAACCTCTCTGGGCTCAGTTTTCTCATTTGTAAAATGAAATCTCAAACTAAATTATTTCTAAAATTCTTTTAGCCATAATGGTAAATCAATCAATCTCTCATGCTCCCTCCCTCCCTCCCTCCCCCCCCCCCCGGCCGCTCCCCTCCTCCTGCCTGCTCCTACACAGCTTTGTCTCTCCCCGTGCTCACATCATCCACAGGATGAGCTGGATATAGACTGTACCTCGTGTTACTGTGAGTGGTGGAAAGATAATAAATGTAAAATGCCCTGTGATAAAGGGCTCTGTGTTACTCTGGCAGTGCTTTGGGGGCCATTGACATCAGAGGCACCTTTGTTAGGGAGCTGTACAATAAAAACAAAAAGCGTGCCTTAACACTTTTTATGGTGGAATACCTGGTAGGAATGAAAACTGGGGATCTGGGTGAGCTGTAAACTAGTATCTTGTCCACATTTGCTTATGGAGTCGTGCTGCCTTACCGAGGAAAGGAGAGGCAAAGCAAGGGGTTGGGGGACTTGTGTTTTGAAAGCCAAGAATATGCCTCCCCTTGGTCACCAGGCTTGTGCCTAGTACACTATACAGAGATGAAATCTGAGGTTTTAGGATCTGTTTCATCATAATCAACTCTGAGCAAGGCTTTATTTCCAGGGTACTTTATTTGGAAACAGGGTCTCACTGTGGAGTTCAACCTGGACTCAAACTCATGGCAGTCCTCCTGCCTCATCCTCCTGAGTGCTGGAATTACAGGCATGCACCACTATGCCCAGCAAGGATGCTACTGACATAGGAAAAATGTCCCAGCCTGTCAAATGTGCCAAGTTTGTGGGTTTACAACATCAAGGAATGGAGTCATGAAACAAAGGAAGAGGTTAGGAAAGTTTTGTTGGGAATAAAGAGAAGAACAGCTTCTGGGTTTCAGGAGGTTGCCTGATTGCGTGGTCACCAGGGCTCTTTGTCCGGGGTAATTCACACAGCAGAGTCACAATGTGGGGACGACATGGGTCAAACTACAATTAACCTATAGGATTACAAGTATGGCAGCTTAGCTAACATGGATCCAATAGGGAAACAAGTCACGTGGCAAGGGTGCATGGAAAGAACAAAGGCATTTTGGGGAAGGGAAGGCAGTATGGGCCCGGACGTTCTGGTCCCCACCTGTGTGCCTGATGCCTGTCTGGGCCCGCTGGGCCAGGGGGTGCTAACTGCCGTCAAATCTCAAGTTACCGTTCATCTCTCAGGCCTGGCTACCGGAGCCCATCCTGAGGCCTGGCTCATTTCAGCCATGATGATGTCTTCATTTTTTTTGTTTGTGCTGACTTCCTCAAGGGCCCAATCCTCCTCTCACTGCATATTAATTCTGTCTAACTTACCTGGTTAGGGCCGGAGCTTTAGCTTAGTGTTTCCGCTGCCTGCCTTGCAAGCACAAGGTCCTGAGTTCTATCCCCGGTACCATTAAAAAAAAAAAAGATATAACTTACTTGTCTATAACACTATCCCAACTCATACCCCCACTCGTGTTAGTAGTATCAGCTTTCCATCACTGTAACAAATACCTGAGATAATCAACTTTCAGAAAGAAAAAGTTTCTTTGACTCATAGTTTCAGAGGTTTCAGCCCATGGTCTGTTGGCCTTGTTGCTTTTGGACCTGTGGCAAGACAGCTCGTCATGGCATAGCAAAACTGCTCATTTCATGGCTGGGGCCTGGAAAAGAAAAATGGGAAGACTGGTCCCACGGTTCCTTTAAGATCATGCCTCCAGTGACCTCAATCCTCTCCAACCTCCCAGTAAACCTCCCTTATTTTTGAGAAAGGTTCTCACTATGTTGCTTACACTGGTTTTGATCTCCCAGGTTCAAGTGATCGTCCTGCCTCAGCCTCCTGAATAGCTGGGACTACAAGTGTACTGTGTATACAGGTGTATTGTGCTGGCTTTTTTTTTAAAGCTCCACCCATCAGTAGTGTCATACTGGGACCACAACTTTACTGCAGGGGCTTTTGGGGGTCATTTAAGATCCAAAGTATAGCACCACCCTCTTATACCACTGCTCACTCCAGAGGAGGGATTTGGCCTCAAAGGGTCTGTCTTTGACTCTGTCTGCGGCCTTTTGGAAGGCAGCTGTGCTCACCACTAACCCACCAACACTGCACTCTGTGGGTTTTTGTTATTAAAGATGTTGTCGTGAATATATAGCTCCTCTTCTAGCATAATGCTAAAGAAAAAGTACTGAATAATTTGGCCAGGATTTCAACCCTACTTTTTGAACTAAAGTATTACTTTCTGGCCCTCCTGTGCTCATATTTAGAGACGGAGATTCACTCTTGTACTTTACCTGAGGATGCTGTACGTCCCCTGGGCAGAGTTCTCTGGAGACCTGTAGGAACTGGCGTGCGTGCCCACAGCTGCTGCTGAGTTACGCCAACATCAGCTTCTTCCAGTGGGCCCTGCAGGTGGCTTCTGTTATGTGTCGTAATGAACACATATTGCTTCTCCCTTGACGCACCCCAGGCAGTGCAGAGCTCCTAGCTTTAGCATTTCCCCTGTGTAATTTTGTTTCTTATGATACTCCCTAAACACAGGGAGAAAAGCTAGTGTCCTGGGAAATGTAAGAAACCCTTGATTTACTTTACGAATAAGCCTGGGGGCTTAGAGGAGTTAAGCACCTTCTCTACTCTCCTTTTTCTCTCTTCAAGGAGCTTAGTGACTCACCTGGCTGGGACACTGTGTTCAGAGACTAACAGACTATTTCCTTGTGGATGGACATTTTGCTGTTCATTTCTTGGCCGCCCACAGTACCTTATAAGGAAGGGAAAAACAGTTTTCCTCCTATTCTTCTACGTTCTAGGCTGGGACCCCTTAACAAAAGACATATTAACAGGAGAAAAGCAGAATCTTACTAACACATATATCATATATACATGGTGATATAAGGGGAACAAACGTAGCTCCCAACCTGCTGGGTGTCAGATATGCTGAGTTTGTGTTTCCCAAAATCGAAGAATGAATTTTCAAGAACAATGGAGATCAACATAGGGAAAATTTATTGAGAGAGATGGTTCCTAGAGACAGGAGGGGACCCTGAAAGTGGGTTGCCAACCAATCCACTTTTTAAAGGAAGTTTCATAGATCAAAATCAGGAGGCGGGTATAAAATTACGCGGTGGGCAGAACGTGGGTCAAAACTATGATCAACCAGTAAGATTACAAGTATAGCTGCTTAGGTGATATTGATCCAGGGGAAAAGCAGGTCGTGTAGCACGTGTACATGGAAAGAACAAAGAACTCTTAACGGAAGAGATGACTCAGGTCTGATGTTTACCTAGACTGTATTGGACCTAGAGATATCATTTATTTTGGGGGAGGTATATAGGCCTGGTCATTCCATCTTTATCTTGAGCCTTGCCCTTTAACAGATATACCTCTAGCCACCATTGCAATGTATTTTCATCCTCTGTACTGGCTCTCTAGAGGGCCTAGCCCTGTCTGGCTCTCTATAATATTTTTACTTAATTTTACCTGTCTAGAATATTCAGAGATATCCAGGGGAATGAATAACTCTCAGAGTTGGTTTACAATTTAAGCTTAAATACCTTCTTCAGCTATATCAAAGACAGTAGGGGTCGGGAAGGTAAGTTATAGGAAGGTGACCAAGAAAAACAGAATGAACAAAAATAAGGCTTGTTATGCGTATCTCAGAGAGTGATCTCATTGATAAGTATTTCTTGTGATTTAGAGCATCCCTCTCTTCCTGGTAAGGAAAGCGACACACCCTTGCAGGTGGAAATTTCCTCTGGAGATGTCAATTTTCCTTACAAAAGCATCACGTGCATGTTTCATAGTTTTTCCTGTGTCTGCTGGTTCTCAAAATAATCAGCTCCAAGAAACTCTTCATGTGAAAAAGGCATATTTTGAGGTGGCATTTTCTGGTCTCCTACAACCCTTAACTTTACAGAGAACAGTGAGCCATTTGTCAGAAGAAGGGCTACTCGGAAATTTTCACAGGATCCCCTCCTGTGGTTGCACAGGTTGTGTACTGCCCAAACACAGAGGGAGGTGTCATTTGCACAGACAACACAGTGACGGCTGTCTCCAGAGTTGCTACACCAGTTTGCACAATTAAAGGCAGCAGCCACGTGGACCAAGTGTGCATCACACCTGGGAGGGGCGACCCCAAACTTAGAGTATATATTCTGTTTAGGGTAGAGATATGAGTTTTAGCTATCTTTAATCTCTGTCTTTTTTCATCTTTATAACTAAATGTGGAACATCTGTATTCCCAGCTGCTCAGGGGGCCAAGGCCAGACAATTAAGAATTTGAGCCCAGGGCTCGCTTTGGCAGCACATATACTAAAACTGGAACGATGCAGAGATTAGCATGGCCCCTGAGCAAGGATGACACGCAAATTCATGATGTGTTCCATATTTTTATAGCTAAGTGGATGCTCATTGAGGCGATACTCTTAAGTGGGATAAATAAGACACGTATGTGTAAATACTGAATAGTTCCTCTAGTGTGAAAAACTGAAAGTGTCAGTAAGGACTAAAAGGTATAATAGCTAATGTGAAAGAGGAAGAAAAGGGGCAAAGGGGAAGGGAAGTGGGAGGGGCAGGGGAAAAGAAAGAGGGAATGGAATTAATATGAAAAGAAAAACAAACAGAAACAGGGTCTTTGTAGATAGGGGTGGAGGGGTTGAAGGGAGGGCAGGGGAATGGGGAAAACGTATGAACCAAGATGGATTATGTAAAGGTGCAAATTTCCAGTGATGATTGTCATTATATCGTATACCTTAAATGTATCAATAATATTAATTAATTAAAAAAAGAATTTGAGCCCAACCTGAGCAACATAACAGGATGCTAATCTCAAAATAAAAAGAAAAAAAATTTTTTTTGGTATCAATGATCGAACTCAGGACCACTTAGCAAGGTAAGTGGAGGAACCACTGAGCCACTGAGCTAAATCCTGGCCCCAAAATTAAATGTTAATGATGACTCTTGGAAGAAAAAAAAAATGCCTCTGTTGGTCTTAGTGACACTGGATGGGGTCTGAGAAGGTCCCACAAAGAGGAGATAGGAGCCCCATCTCAGGCTGACAGGTAGGTTCTTGACTGTGTCACAGAAAATTTTAGAGTGTGTGAGAGGGTAGGCAGATTTATTAGGCAGAAGTTAAAAATAAAGGTTAATAGGGAAAGAGTTCCAGCTTGAGCATCCGCAGGGGCATACTCTGATGCAGGGATTCAGACTGGCCTATCACAAGAAAGGCACCAGTTTTGGGGGTGCTGAGGTGGACTTGGGTCCGGCTGACCATCATGTTGGTCCTGGTTTCATAGCTGCAGAAGAATGCGTATGGCTTGAGGAGCAGTTCAGTTCCCATGGGGTGACTGTCCTTGGCTGGGAGTGAGGCTGCCGCAGTTCTTCTTAGGGGAGGTGATCTCATCTTGGTCTGCAAAGCTCCGCCTTTCCTGGAACTAGAGGGGTGATTGTAGGTTGGGGGACTTCTAGGCATCACTCCAGGGAGCCATGGAACTGGACATTGTAAAAAAGCTGGCAATTATCCTGGAAATTATTTTAAGTTACTCTTATCTTGGTGTCCTCAGCATTGAACGGGGTTGAGATAGACTGGGTAAATTTAGGGCTGATAAACCTTGCAATATATATATGTTCCTTAAGTGATTAAAATTCCTATATGCAGAGCTGAGCAAGGATCTGACCCAGGGTTTTAAGGTAATGAGACCCAGGGCTTAAGGGTAATAAAGTAATAAGTTTCCTGTCTACTTATTGTTATTCCTTCTACCTTACCTCACTTACGTCATCTCTTACTTTATCACCTCAGGGTCACTCTCAATTCTATAACCAATCAGGCCTCCATTTTAATTGTTTACCTACTTTATGGTGCACTTGTAACACATATAACTTAACTTTTGTGTAAATCTTATTCCTGGTGTTAATTCTGATAGGACCTACTATAGTCAGCTCTACCTGACCTGTTTCTGTCACTTCCCAATAATGCCATGTGATGAAGTTAGACCCCTCATGATTCAATCATTTTCCAGAAGTCCATCAGCTGGTCTTTTGGGGGTCATTGTATAATCAAACTCATAACAAGGGATAAACAAAGATTTTTCGATTATGCACATAAAATCTCCCTGGGTAGCATTCACCAGAAAGTCTCCTGTGATAATCTGTCTGGGCAGATGTATAACCCTAATCTCCTGCGATAAGATCTTTAGTGTGGAAAGAGGAGGGAGGCCTCAGAGAAGATTCATTAGCAGCTACTTTTCCTACAGGTACAAATCTCCCCTCAAAAGGACAGCTTTTCAGAGGTATTCACTCCTGTTTCTGCAGGCCCTCTGAATAATCATCTTGGTCTATTTTGATCTCCCTAGATAGCAGTGCTAAATTTTGCTAAGTGAAAGGATCAGTTGTATTTCATGGCAAGAAGGTAAACCAAGGAATCAGGAGTCCTATATGGGATTCCTATTTGATTATCCCTTTTCCTCTGACTCAGCTTTTTAAATAAGAACAATTTACCTGCCTATATTTAGGATCTTTTATAGATCCTTAGCCTCTCTCATTCTCTCCCCTTTCCAGTAGGTCTTCTACATTACTCTCAGGTTTAAATTCTCTGTTAAGTTTTTAGCAAAGAGTTTTTGTCTTGCTACTAAGCTAGAGGTTGGCAAACTACTGCCTGAGGTGCAGATTGAGCCCTCTGCTTTTTTTTGTGTGTGGCCTGAGAGTTAAAAGAGTTTTTACATTTTTAAATAGTTGTTTAAAATGAAGAATATTTCATGACATGTGAAAATCTTATGCAATTCACATTGAAATGTCTGTAAATGAAATGTTATGGAACAGAGCTGTCCTAGTCCATCCGATGCTGCTATAACAATACCAGAGTCTGGGTAATTTGTAAAAATTTTTTTTCTCAGGGCCGGGGATTTAGCTTGGTGGTGCTGCCACCTGCCCCTCAAGCACAAGGTCCTGAGTTCAATCCCTGGTGATTTTTTTTTCTCCAGCTCTGGAAGCTGGAAAGTCCTCATTTCTTGCTGACTCATTTATGGCAAAAGGAAAGAGGGCAAGAGAAGCCAGAATTCACTTTTATATCAACTCACTCTTGCAATCACTAACTCACTCCCCAGATAACAATATTAATCTGTTGTAATGGCAGAGCCTTCATGACTGAATCACCTCGTATTAGGCTTCACCCTGTACACCACTGAATTTCAGATGACCTTTGAGATACAATTAAACACAGCAACAGCCATGCCAATTGGTTTGCTATTATCTGTGGCTGTGTTTGCAATACAATGGCAAAGTATGACTGCTTATGACCCTCAAAGCCTAAAATATTTACTATCTATTCTTTTACATAAAAGTTTGCTAAGCCCTCTGCTAAGCTTTTATATAGGCATATGCATGATTTTGTATATCTTTCCCCCTTTCCAATCACAGCAAAACCCCTTTCTCACTTAAAACCCTTTCTTTCTGTCCAGCATTGACCTGATTCTCCTACCTGGTCATATAATTCACTCTACAACTTCTCAGCACTAGTTAATATAGCTCAATATAGCTGCGATTAACTTTTTTTTTGCATGTGCTGGAACTCAAATCCAGCGCCTCACCTATTCTAGGCAAGCACTATGTCACTGAACGACACCTCCAGCTCTATCTTGTGATATCTAGCTATCTATCATTGTCGGGGGTGGTACCAGGGATTGAACTTGTGTCCTTGAGTTTGCAAGGCAGGCAGCAGAACCACTGAGCTAAATCCCCGGCCCTCTATCATCTCTTTTTCAGTCTTGTTGAGAATGGTGGTGCATGCCTATAATCCCAGGTACTTGGAAAGCTGAGGCAGGAGGATTGCAAGTTTGAAGCCAACTTGGGCAACTTAGATCCTATGTCAAAACAGAAAATTTTGTCTATTTTTAAATTAAAAATATGTATTGGTACATGTTTGCAGTACGTGATTACATTCATCTTGGGGAATTGATACATACATATAACACATCTTAATTCTTTTTATACCACCTTCTCAATCCCCCATCTCTTGGTTCCCTTCCCATTGCAAAAGCTCTATCTCCCTGTTTCTTTTTCTTTTCTTTCTTTCCTTTTTTTTTTATATATATACCGGGGATCGAACTCTGATCCTTGTGCTTGCAAGGCAGGCGGCAGAACCACTGAGCTAAATCCCTGGCCCAATATCTACCTTTTATTTTGCTCTTTCATTTATTTATACTTTGGGTTTCTTATATAAGAGAAACTGTGAGCTATTGAAACTTTTGTGTCTGATTTGCTTCACTTAACATTATGGTCTCAAGGTGCATCCATTTTTCCTACAAATGATTTAAATAAAATAAGACACTTAAAAAGGACTGGAGGTGTAGCTCAGTAGAAGAGTACTTGCCCATCATGTGTGAGGCTCTGGGTTCAATCCCTAGTACCCAAAAAACAGTCCTGAACATGTGTTTACTATCTTTTCTTTTCATTGTAAAGACCCAAAGGTTGGCACTGACCCTTCTATGTCCTGTTTTTCCTTCCCTGAACAGAGTGGCACTCACATTTTAGATAAGTCCTCACGTTTTAAACAAGTTTGCATTTTGTTTTCCCCAATCCCTAGATGAACTAGTGAGGTAAATTTCCCCAATCTTCATCTCCAGAATGAGTTTGTGCTGAGGATCAAGGAGATGGTGTGTGCCAGGGTCCAAGACTAGAAACAAGAGCAGCAATTATCAGTGGATGATTTATTTGTAATATGAAGATATTCTCTTTGGCCCTACTGAAACTCATGGAGGTGTAGTGAGAATGAAAAGAAGTAGCCAGAAATGAAATTGCTTGGTTCAAGTGTAAAGGTTAGCTGGGAAAATTCAAGTCCTCAAATGAGATAGATGTTAGGCTAACGAGACTCCGAACAAATTTAACAAATACTTCTTGGGTACTTACTGAGCTCAACAGTGCCTAGGTCAAGCCTCAAGTGAGCATGAAAGATGGATGACCACATCTATCCTAGAAATTTTTATCCAAACTGGGAGGAGGGCAATACGAACTTGAGCTATGCTCTTACTTGTCTGTGTTTCACCTTCTCTCTCAGAAGGCATGATTCAGAGTCAGTAATTCACAAAAAAGCATTGCACATGGAAAGTATTAGTTATTCTGTGGGGAAATAAGTTTCTAAGTGCAGCAATCTGAGAGTAATAGCTTTCTCTATGGAAACTCTCTTGACAACATCCTGAGATAAAGCCAAAGTACAATTTTTACAGTTTTGAACTATCTGCCTGCTTGGCTTATACCAGGCTTGAAATCCTGAATATAAGATTTCCCCTTGTTTGGACAGGTCGCTTGCCAACTGGAGCCCTTAAACAGCAGTGACTCACTTTTGTTATTCTCCAGTTTACCCACTCACTGAATCAAGGCAAATAATTTCAGTTGTCTT